CCCTCCGGCGGAGGCCGGGACGGTGGCGAGTGGAGATAGGGGGCGCCGGGGGCGAGGCCCTCCCACGGGCTGCGGCGCGGCCCTTCCAGGGGGAGGTCCTGCTCTGGGGGGCTCAGTCCCTCAGCCCCCCCAGGCCAACGGGGGCTTCTCGGGCGCAGGGTGCTGAGCTTCTGCCCGGGCCCCACTCAGTCCGGGGTCCGAGTCCCAGCTTGCCTTCTCCCACCCCACCTCTCCCCAGCGCCCCCAACCCTTTAACTGGCTTCGTCTTGGCCCCCACTGCCCAGGGGTCCAGGGCCAGGCCTGAGCCACCCCACTGTTTCCGGGGTTCAAGCCCCGCCCACCGCCGGTTCCCGGGGAGGGGGGGGTCCCTGTAACCTGCCCCCCTCCCCTGTGCCCGCCCCTGGACTGCGGACCCTTGCCTTACGGCTACCCGGCGAGCGAAGGGAGGTGAAGGAAGCTGCTCCAGCCCCGCCCCCCCAGCTTGCGCGCGCCCCCGCCTTCCCACCCCCTCCCACCTCCAAACCCTCAAGAAATAGGGATTTAAATAAAATTTGAATAAACCCTCTTCCTCAAGCAGGAGAGTGGAAGGAAGGGATGGAAGGAGGCAGGGAAAGGGGGAGGGGGCAATCGCGGTGCCTCAGCCCCCCTGGTCCCCTGGCCCCGCGCTGCTTCGGCCCGGGGCCCTGACCGCCTCTCTCATCCTTCCTAAGCTCCTTCCTCCTTCCTCCTCTCTTCCCCTCCCCTCCCTTCTCCTTCCCTTCTCCTCCTCCTCTTTACTCCCTCCTTCTTACAGAGGAACCCCGCCCCCTGCCCCTTCTTCCCCCACCACTCCACTTTCCAGGACGAACACGCGCAGAGCACGACGGAAGTCGTAGTCCTGTAGACACGGGTGCTACCGCGGGAACAATGGAACGCTGGGGACAGCGGAGACTACGAACAAGATGGCGTAAGGCGTGCCAAGCCAGGAGCCGAGCTTGCCGGGAGTTATAGTCCAGTTGCCCTGAAGCTCCCCGTTGCGGAGCATACAGAAGGAGCGGGAATGGTGACTACAAACAAGATGGCCTTCTCCCCCGACCCGACCTCCTTCGCAGGCACTCTCACGCCCTCCTGTCCACAACTCTCCGCGTGTGTGGTACCTGACGGGAGTCGCAGTCCATCTGCTGCCATCCCGCTGCCATTTCTAATCGTCAGGAACAATGGAAAGGTGAGAAGGAACGAGGACTACAAGCAAGATGGCGGAAGAGAGGCGTACACCTGACTAGTAGTCGATCTTATGAGGTGCGATGGGAATAGTAGTTTTTTTAGCCTTTTAGTGTTCCTTAATAATGACGGAACCGGGAGATAAGGAGACTACCATAAAGATGGCAGGCTACTTAGCGTCTCCCTGTGGCCTTATTCTACCACCTTGGGCAACTCGCTCTCCTGTAATAGCGAAATCTCCCTCTCCCGGCGGCGCAGAGCCTGACGGGAGTTGCAGTCTTCCTGGCTCCTATTCTCTTCGGTCGAGACAATGGGAAGGAAAAGGGGCGGGGACTACCGGCAAAGATGGCGGCCGAAGGAGAGACGACGACCCGGGATTTGTAGTCCACGCGCTAAGGCTATTCCCTGCGGAAATGGGGGAAAGGACTACAGTAAAGATGGCGGCCGACCATTCTCCCTCTGCGGCAACACCTGCTGGGGAACGTAGTCCCTTCTTTTAACTACTACAGAGAAAGGAAGTGGGCTGTTGAAATGTGCTTCTCCGCGGACACGCGAAAATGCGAGCCGACGGAAACCGAGTCTTTCCTCCTCCTCCTGCCACCCCCTTCTCAACGACCTGCCGGGAAATGTAGTCCCACACCTTCACTTGCTAGTGGAGGGAGAAAATTTCTGTCACTAGTGGGGACCAGTGCAAGTGAGGAGAAGTCAGGACGATCCCAAAACATATAATGTCCACCACCCTATGTGGCGAAGACTTAATATTTCAGGGCACGGCTCTTAAAGGAAAGCAACGGTAATCAGTGTTGTCGCGACAAGGGAGGCGTGGTTCTGTCGGAAAGTACCGTCATGGTGTTGTCCCTTGGAAAGCTTGTACACCTCACACCCGATGCTTATTCCCCTATACCTCGGGGAATCAGTTATTTTCCCAGTCGTGAGGGCTCCAGGGAAAAGGCTCTGGAGTCAAAATCCCCGCTACTACGTGGGAAGTCACCAAACCTCTGTTTTCCCATCTGAAAAATGGGGATAACGATACCTACCTCAAAGCAGAGTTAGGAGTGTTAAGATAATGTTCACGAGAGTGCCCAGATCAGGGCCTGACACGGGACACGTGTTGGTAGTTCCTTTTTCGAGATTCCTTCCAGCCCACTTGTTCTGGGATCCCATGAAACCATCATGCCGGAAGGAGTGCGCTCCTGTGAGAAGAAAATCTTGGCGGGCAGG